TTTATTTTTTGTTTTTTAATCAGCTTTATTTGCATAATTATTATGTAATGATATAGATCTGAGTTAATTTTACTTTTAGGGAATTCGGATTCCTGGAATGCCGGGAACTACTGATGATTTAGTACCCATTATCCGTGTTTTCGGCGTTACTAACAAGGGCTACAGTGTATGTTTGCACATACATGGCTTCGCTCCTTACTTTTATGTGCCTGCTCCTAGTGGATTTGTCGAATCGCATATTTCATTGTTTCGCGAGGCATTAAATCAATCTCTAAAGCGTGAAGTTAAGCAGAAAGATTTGGTTGCGTTGCAACATATGGTACTCGCAGTTCGTTTGGAAATGAAGGAAAGTAAGTTTTTAACCAACTTATATGTGCAGCCACAACTTAGAAATTGTTGTACATTCATTTTTTCATCATTTATTGTTTCTTCTAATATAAACTAGAAGCAGCACCTTATTGTCCATCATTTAATAAATTATCCTTTCAGGTATATATGGTTTTCATGATAACCGGAAACTTCCATTTATCCGTATTACTTTGGCTCTACCTAGACTCATCGCTCCCGCAAAACGTATCCTGGAAAATGGGTTTGCATTTTCCAACTACTCTATGCAGGTAGTATGAATTAACTTATAAAGATTCATAATAATTTCTCATATTAATGTTTTTGTTTAAAATTTCAGAGTTATTCCATTTTTGAGTCCAACATTGATTTTGAGGTTCGCTTCATGGTCGATATTGGAATGATGGGGTGCTGTTGGGTAGAAGTACCTAAGGGTCAATATTTACTCCGCCTTGATGATCCATCCTCATCCAGATGTGAAAATCAAACGCCTACTGATTCTCTAGCCTATGCTGGACCTAAGATTTCCCCTCAGCCCAAGCAAACTAGATGCCAGATTGAATTGGATATTGCTTGGGATTCTTTACAGGCACATCCTTCGGAGAAAGCAGAATGGAGTCACATTGCTCCTATTCGAGTTTTGAGCTTTGACATAGAATGCGCCGGGAGGAAAGGTTCACATAATTTTACTTTACTAATGATCTTATTTAAAATAAAATTATCATACTACAACCTTTATTTTGTAGTCATACAAAACTTGATGTAGCTTATGTGTTACCAATTAGTTTGATCTGTTTCCGTAACTTAACTTATCAATTGCTATTACACCTTCAACTTGCTTTAAGTTGATATCAATTACCTTGACGACTAAGCTCAACTATGACTATGGTGTTCTACCCTGACTATATTGTGCCTAAGTTGGGTTGGTAATCGCCAATAATAAATTAGCTCATAGTTTCACTTATTCATTGACCATTTTGCACTACCTAAGAAAAGGCATTAAGATTTCTTGTTACATTTTTAACCTTATCTAGCCTATACAATTTTTGTATCATCATCTACGCCATATTTATTCGATTTATTCCGTTTTATTTCCTCAAACCTTATTCTCACTCACTAAAAGTGCAACTGATTTTTTTTACTTTTGCTGAGT